TAAACTCGGTTAACTGGTCTTTAAGATGAAAGTGGGAGGAAGCTTAGAGCAGGGTTGATAGTCCTTCCTGGAAAATAGCCTTGAGTTGTGGTTTGAAATGAGATGCTTTTTAAGGATTAGCTGTAGTTTCAAAAACCACATCAAATGGAATACCCAGAACCACAGAAACTCTGGGCTTGGCCTAAGTTAGAAGATGTTGCAATGATGTGAACCAGCAGTGACCTAACAGGGGGTTCCCAGAGTGGTCTGGTCTCACCTCAACTTCTACTTTTAGCCTAGTGAGTGGTATCCTGATAGCAAAGGGCAGCCTGGCTCCTGAGTCCACATATTCCCCAAACTTAGAAGGTTCTCGTGTGTATCTCTTTGGAAAGCAGAACAGTATAAACACAGGACTGAAAACTTACAAACGTTGTGACTGTGATTCATAGCACCTAAAGGCAGCTCAGAACCCTTCACTGGTACTGATGGGATTTTAAGTGACAGCTTCCTGATATTTGATTTTGTTTCATTGTCTATTAGAAGGATGGATGGTTTTGGAAGGACGGGTCCTTGTGTAGTCTGATGGTAAAATCCAGTATGCCAAGTGCTTATCTCACCACAAGGGGGCTTTGGGAAGACCGTGGGCGCTCTGGAGACAAAGGTCAAATTGAGGACCAGGAGACAGGTAACATCAAGGGGCTCTGTCCAGTGCAGTGCTCAGTAACAGAGACTTGTGTGGTAGTTTTAAAGGTTCATGATCTTAATATAAATGAAGTGGCCCCAGGGGCTGTTCCTTGATCATCCAAGGAGATGGTGATCAGTAAACTTGCTTGTAGTTCAGCCTGTGTGATCTCTGAAACATTTTGTTTGCAGCCTCCCAAACTCTGATCATCTTGAGGAAGATGAAATAACACAACCAATAACACTTTACACAGGGCAGGACGTCTGAGTATTTACAGTCCCTTGATCCCTGTGTGTGAAGAATTCTGCCTTTGCTGGCTTGGTTCTGCATTGCTGGGTTGAGGGAAATTGAAATGGCCCAGACTGGCATGGCTGTCTGTGGTAGAGGGGGCGGGGTATGTACGAAATTCAGATCAGCCAGAGAGAGAGGAGGGAGTTACAGCCAGAACAGGCTGGTGGGAGGGAGTTTTCTTTGGCATCTGAAGGTTGAGGGTGGCTGCCACTCCGTGTGTTGTGCGTGTGTGAGAGTGTGAGAATGAGTGTGTGTGTGTGTGTGTGTGTGTGTGTGTAGGGACACTGAGAAAGAGATAGATCAGAGACCTTCCTTTGCCATTTTCCCAGACATTGCTGTAAAGATTTAAATTGCTGTTCAAAGACTTTTGGTTGTCAGCCTGGTGTTTCCTCTGAATAAGGGTGATCTGTGCCTGGATGCAGGAGAGCCACTGTGCACAATTTACTCTTCAGTACTGGCCTGAGCAGAATGTGGAATTTCCATAAGGAATTGTCCCTTATCACTGCATTCTGTAAGGGGCTGCTTACCGGTTGTGCCCACTGTAGACACTTGAGCATTAATAAACAGGGTTGTCATTTGAGGCCACTTGGGCAATATAATATGTAAAACAACATTTAATGAAGACTAGTTAATCCCAATCTGCCTCTTTTCTACCTCCTCTCTTTAATTGTGGTAAAATAAACAGAACATAAAATTTACCTTCTTAACCTTTTATTTTATTAATTTTTTAATCCTCACCCGAGGACATTTTCGCATGTATTTTCAGATAGAGTGGGAGAAAGAGAGGGGGAAAGAGAGAGAGAGAAACATCATGTGAGAGAGACATATCAAGTGACTGCCACCCACATGACCCCAACCGGGGCTGGGGTAAAACTGCAACCGAGGTACGTGCCCTTAGCGGGAACTGAACCCGGGACTCTCCAGTCCACAGGCCGACAATCTAACTGCTAAGCCAAACCAGCCAGGGCTTCTTAACCATTTTTAAGTATTCAATTTAGTGGTATTGATTACATTCACATTGTGCAATCATCTCTACCATCCATCTCCAGAACTCTTTCATCTTACAAAATTGAAACTCTGTATGTATTAAATACTAAATCGCTATTCCCCCATTCCCTGGCAACCACCATTGTTCTTTCTGTCTCCATAAATTTGGCCACTCTAGGTATCTCATATAAGTGGAATAATACAATTGATCCATCTCCCTATCTCTAAATCACTTAGCATAATTTCCTAAAGGTTTATCAATGTTGTTGCACGTGTCAGAATTTCATTCCTTTCAAAGGCTCAATAATTTATTGTGTGTGTGTATGTAGCACATTTTGTTTATTCATTCATCTGTCAACAGACATTTGCGTTGCTTATACCCTTTGGCTAATTATGAACAATGCTGCTATGAACATAGGTGTACAAAATCTCTTCAAGTCCCTGCTTTCAATTCTTTTGGGTATATACCCAGAAGTGAAATTGCTGAGTCATATAGTATTTTTAATATTATGTGGGACCTCCATACTGCTTTCTATAGTGGCTGCGCCATTTTACATTCTTACAGTGCCCAAGAGTTCCAATTTCTTCACACCCTTGACAACTTATGTTCAGTTGTTTTTGTTTTTTTTGGTAGTAGCCATCCTAATAAGTGTAAGGTGGTACCTCATTATATCTTACTCTCTTTTAACAGAAAGAAAGACAGATCATGCTAATTCTCCATTAAAAACACTCAGTTCTCCTCATCGCCTCTTGGCCCTGCAGGATTTCCCTCCAGTGACCTCTGGCCTCATCTCCTGTTGACATCTTTCTTACCCTACACTGTTCCTCAGACCCATGGAGACGGCCCCAGATGTCCTCTCTGTGGGACATTCTCCTTCTCCAGTATCTTGTTGGAACTTCTTCCAAGACTTTACCCAAGGTCAATCTGCAAAGAGGACTTCTCTGTTTTTCCTTCAAAAACAGCAGCTTCTTCCCCTGTTCTTGGTCCCTCACTTGGCCTTATTTTTGCCACAGACATCTTACCATGTGGACATTATATATCTATTGATGCCTTTGTTTTCTATCCTTCCCCCCAAGAAAGTGAGCGACATGAGAAAGGAGGGACTCTGCTCTGTCCTGTGCTGAGTCTTGAGTACCTAGACCCTCACCACCACACAGTAGGTGCTTAGCATTTGCCAAACAAATGAAAAAAAAGTGCTTATGCTGAAACATAAACCAAGAATAAAGGACAATGCTCTTCAAGTGGTTCTTAGTAGGTTTTCTCTTAGACATCTTGATGTAGCAAATTATATTAATGGGTTTCTTAAAATTGGTCTATCTCCCTATCTCTACAGTCAAGTTGTCTTTTGCCCCCTCCACCCCCCCACCCCCCAGTGCTCCTGAAGTGATGCTGGTGGCAGGCCCCAGCCGGACATGCCTGGGAACCAGGCCACCACAGCCATGGCAAGCTTCCCGGGGAGTGCTCAGGATGGCTTATTGTTTCTGAATTAAACAAATGAAGAATGTGATTCAATTAGAGGCAGCATAATATAAACCAAGATGGATTTATATTTAGTCAGGCGGAGACATGTGGGAAAGAATGGAACTTCCTTCAGCACAGGGTTGGAAAGCTGGCTTTGAAGTGACGGAGCTCCGCCCTTCCACGTTGTCTTCATTCCGGCAGCCTTGCCCCCAGACGTTTTCCTGGATATTTCAACTTTTTGGGAAAGCATCAGGGCTCAGTGGAAAGCAGAGTTCTAAAATTTTCATCTAGAAGCCTCACTGTCTTTTTGCCAGAACCGTCTGCCAGGGCAGAAGCCATGCTGTTCCGGTCTCCTCGTTTCCATGGGGGCTGATGGCATCTCAGGCACTCAATGTGATTTTTAAGAACAGGTTAAAACATGGTGAAGATGTTAATACATTGAATTTATATCTCCAAACCAAATCCTAGAAAGCACTAAACAGAGAAAAAAGATCCTCTTTGTTATAATTCTGTATGGGTTCCCTTTTGTCAGGAAAAGGAGAAGGGAGGAAGATTTGTGAAATGTTCTTAGTTGAGAAGTGTGAATAAATGTGGAACCAACATTTGTCATAGTAAGGTCCTCCATCCACCGCTACCTGCATCAGATTCGGCCCTAAGCCTTATATTCTTTATTCTAATCCCTGCATCAAGCTCTGCACAATGGGTGGTGGTGTCACTGTGTTTGAGATGGCGCCACTGCTGCGCCCACAGCGGGGTTGGCCCTGCGTCTAGATCTCTGCTCCTACTGTAGGAGAGGGAAACAGGAGACTTGATTCTTTTTCTCTCACACATATTTCTTTGGGATTGTAAATAATTTCCTCTGTTTGCAGATGTATACACAGGGTAAAAACTTGATAAATGACATAGAGTTCATTGTACATGAGTGAGAAAAGGATAGACTATTCAATGCAAGTGGCTGGGAAGAATGGTTTTCAATTTGAAAACAAGAAAAAAAAATATAGCCTACCTCACACAATAACAAATACTAATTACAATTGTATTAACAACTTAAATATGAAATTTACAAATATTAGAATACTAGAAAAATTTATAACAATATATCATTATGCCCTTTTGAGGGAGAATTGTTTTTCATCATCAAGACACAAAAAAGCATAAGCAATAAATAAAAAATAATGATACATTTGACTGCTATTTAAATTAGAAATCTGACTCATCAAAAGACACTAAAAACAAAGTGAAAATTAAATCACAGACTGGAAGAAAATGGTTATAATATATTGCCAGACTATGTAAAAATGATTAAGTCTGACTTTTTCCAAGAGAACAGACTATTCCACAGACTCCTTGTAGGAGCTGTCTAAGGGAAAAGAATTTGGAGGATTGTTGACACAGATCTGTAGAGTGACTTTATTTCAGAAGAGACACTTCGGAGTGTTCAGTAGCAAGAAGGCAAAAGAAAGTTCAGGGCCTTGGTCACTTGGGTAAAGAGAAATGAAGCTTTCCAGACTAATGGAAAGTGTTCAAGTGGTAACGTATCTCTCCCTTTAAACAGCGGTGTGGAGCAGCCTGGAGGGAGGGGAGCCAGGCCCAGGAAGTCTCTAAACAGCCACTAAGGAAAGGCAAATATGGAGATCACCCTTCAGGTAAAAAGAGTTTTGGATGAATGAAAACAGTAACTTCCTAGAAAATAATTTGGACGAGGGGAGGGCCTTAGGTGGGGTGGTCTTGTGCTGTCACCTTGTTTTTTGAAAATTAGGAAAATAAATAATTTTCTTTAAAAAAAATTGGTCTGAGGATTCTTTTCTTCTCTAAACCTTTGGAAAAAATTCAGTATTAGCTTTTCAAGATCACCACTCTGTGGCAGTTAGAGCGTACTCTTGTCTATGTAGAAAAAGCATGTCAAGACCGATTAAATTATCTAATTAAAAATGACCACAAAGAGCCTGTTTATTTTGGCAGGAGAACGGTCCATTCAACCGACCCCTTTTCTGTTCTGATGAAGGTCCCTGTCCCACACACAGACACACTCACCAGTGAGACAGGACTCACTCTAGCTGGGACTGAAGACTGTTCTTTAGAATATTTTAGATACTTCTCTTGTCTTTACTATAGATATTTCAAATGTGAAAAATTCAGGAAATTATTTTTTAGTTGTACAAAATTAACAAGTGTTTGGTACAAGCTGCCTGGTGTCTTGACCGGGCACTCTTTGCATTAAGGTAAAACCTAAGATCCACAGAGCATGTTCACTAGCAACAATTAAAAAAAATTCCAGAGGAATTCCTCTTGTTTTGACACTCCTCAACAACTGTTGGACTAATTTGTCATGAAATTTCTTGGCTATCTTGATGTTGTGTTGTTCAGCCTAAGAGAGGCACTACTTGGATGGTTGTGGTTACCCTGGTACCACTGAAGACACTGGGCATTAATGATGGCTCATTAAGTTCAAGCTAAATCAGGTTTCTTGCCTAGAGTAAAATTTGGGGCATAGCATATGAATATACTATGCATGATTTAATTTAAATGCAGCCATCAGGAAATGCACTGAGCCTGTCCTTGGCTGTAAGCCTAGCACACAGTGTCTAACCACTTCTGTGGGTATTACAAACATTCTGTTGGTCTTGCACTTATTCAGTAAAGAACTCCCTTTGGGGGTGTTGGTTCAATACTCTATAAGTCCTTAGAAAGAAGGTCACAACCTTTAAAACCTAGAGTGCAAAGGCTCATTTTTATTTTTTAATTTATCTATATTGTTGAATATATTACAGATGTTCCTCCCTTTTTTCCCCATTGATGCCCTCCTCCCCAATCCTGTCCCCCTCCTGCCTTCCCCACACTATTATCGGTGTCCATTGGTTATGCACATACATATAGAAGTTTTTTGGTTTATCTCATCCCACCCTCCCTCCCCCCTTCCCTTTGAGGTTCATCTGTCTAACAACAAATTTGTACTTCTTAATTCCTTCGTCTTTTTCACCCACCCCCTAGCCCCCACCCATTTGGCAAGCCACAAAAATTCTCTGTATCTATGAGTCTGTTTCTGTTCTGCTTGCTCATTTTGTTTGTAGATTCAATTGTTGATAATATGTATTAATTGCCATTTTATTGTTCATATATATATATATATTTTTTTTATCCTCACCCCAGGACATTTTTCCATTTTTTGTTCAGGTAGAGTCGGAGGGAGAGAGAGGAACAGAGAGAGAGAGAGAAACATCGATGTGAAAGGAACACATCGAGTGGCTGCCACCCGCACAACTGACCAGGGCCGGGGACAAACTACAACCGTGGTATGCGCCCTTAGCGGAAACCGAACCCGGGTCTCTCAGGACCGCAGGCCGACACTCCAGCCGCTGAGCCAAACCAGCCAGGGCTATTGTTCATATTTTTGTTCTTCACCTTCACGAAGACCCTTCAACATTTCATATAATACTGGTTTGGTGGTGATGAATTCTTTTAGCTTTTTCTTGTCTGGGAAACTCTTGATATGTCCATCAATTCTAAATGATAGCTTTGCAGAATAGAGGAATCTTGGTTGTAGGTCACTGCTTTTCATCACCTTGAATATCTCTTGCCACTTCTTTCTGGCCTGCATAGTTTCTTTTGAGAAATCAGCTGACAGTCTTATGGGAGCTCCTTTGTAGGTAATGGACTGCTTTTCTCTTGCTGCTTTTAAGATTCTTTGTATTTAACCTTTGGCATTTGATGATGTGTCTTGGTGTGGACCTCTGTGGGTTCAACTTGTTTGGTACTCTCTGTGCTTCCTGGACTTGTATGTCTGTTTCCTTCACCAAGTTAGGGAAGTTTTCTGTCATTATTGTTTTAAATAGTTTTTCAATTTCTTGCTCTCTCTCTTCTCCTTCTGGCACCCCTATGATGCAAGTGATGGCATGCTTGAAGTTGTTCCAAAAGCTCCTTACACTGTCCTCATTTTTTTGGATTCTTTTTTCTTTTTGCAGTTTTGGTTGGCTGTTTTCTGCTTCCTTATATTCAAAATTGATGGTTTGCTTCTTGGCTTTACCTACTCTATTATTGAATTTGTGTAAATTATTCTTTATTTCAGTTAGTGCATTCTTCATTTCTGACTGGTTCTTTTTTATGTTGTCGATGTTCTCACTAAGTTCCTCAGAGGTCTCCTTAAGTTCCTTGAAGGTCTCACCAAGTCCCTTGAATGTCTCACCAAGTTCCTTGAGCAATCTTATAACCTGTGTTTTAAACTCTGCATCTGATTGATTGCTTATCTCCATTTTGTTTAGTTATTTTCCTGGAGTTTTGTTCTTATCTTTAATTTGGGACATGTTTCTTTGTCTCCTCATTTGGCTGCTCCCCTGTGATTGTTTCTATGTACTAGGCCGAGTTTCTATGACTCCTATGCTTCATAGGGTGGTCTACTATTGTAGGTGTTCTGTAGGATCCAGTGGCACAGTCTCCCTGATCACCCCAGCTGGACCCTCGAGGTGCATTCCTAGTGTGGACTGCACACCCTTTTGTTGTATTTGAGTTTTGATTGCTGTTGGCATGTCAATGGGAGGCATTTACTCAGGCTGATCAACTGCAAGGACTGGCTGTGCCCACTGCGCACTGGCCTCTGACTACCTTGGAGGATTAGCTGTGTAGGGGCCCACAACACAGAACAAGACTTACTTCATTAGGGTTCTGGTACCCATTGAATACACTCATTGTATTGAGTGTGTCACTTGAGGAGGTGGTTGGGTGGTGGTGTTTGAATGTGGTCTGAAGCTGTCCACTGGGTGTGCTGGCTCTGGGGCAAGGTCAGCCACTGTCTGTGTTTTATCTGGGGCCACCAGGCTTAAGCTACAAAGTGATCTGCAGATGGTTGCTTCTTGTGCTGGGCTTGGAGGTGTCCAGGAAAAGCCAAGTTGTGAACCAAGGCTGGCTGCTTCTAGTGCCAGGCCTAGGGCCACATAACAAGAGGTATGGGGCCTGCTGAGACTAGTTGTTACTTGTTTGAGAGATTTTAGGAAACTCTGAAGCAGGATCCAAGACAGGCCAATCCTATGGTAAAACCTTTGGAAACAGCTTGGGTGGACCTGAAAGTTGGGTGGGGTGGGGTCTCAGAGAATCACAAGGGAGGGGCCAACAGTGTGAGCCAGGTTCCTAGAGTCCCAGATATGGTGGCCATCTGCTGCCCTGGGGAAGGGCTCCCCAAAGGAACTTCAGCCTCTGCCAGGAAGTCTGTCCAGGAGAAAGCTGACCTTCCTGCCCTCGTCCGAAGACCAAACAGCTCAGTTCTTCCTTGTATGTCTCTGGCACCCGTCAAGCTGCCTCCTCTTTGAGCTCAGAGGGAGCAAGTCTGAGTAAGTCCATTCACAGGCCCTTTAAGAGGAACTGCCTGGGGCTCCTGAAGCTGCAGCCTCCCTCAGCCTCAGTTCCTGCTGGATTTTACAGCCAGAAGCTATGTGGACTTTTCTTCCTGGCACTGGGACCCTGAGTTGGGCACCTAGTGTGGGACAGGGACCCCTCACTCTTCAGGGAGGACTGTCCCAACTGAAGTGTCCCTCCTGATTTTTAGCCGCAACACATGGGGGTCGGACCAGCCTGTCCGCACCTCCACCCCTCCTAGCAGTCTCGGTGTGGCTGCTTCTTTAATTTTGTAGTTGTGGGACTTTCATTCAGCTCGATTTCAGGCAGTTCTGAATGATGGTTGTTCTGTAGTTTAGTTGTAATTTTGATGTGGATGTGAGAGGACGTGATACCGCTTTTATCCACGCCACCATCTTGACTGGAAATTCAAAGGCTCATTTTTATTTTATCTACTATATTCAGGAGAAGAGGGGCTGATGAATGAGCAATCTTCAGAAAGGAGGCCAGGCTTTCTGCTGACTCGTGAAGGACATGGTAGTTCTCACAAGTGAATGGGGAAATGTTATGGCAATAGTCAGCTCACATAATAAATGAATATTGGCTATAACAGTTAATAAGTATATCCAATGAATTATCACTGAACACTTTTTGGATATTCAATAATATTAGTTGATTACTATTTTCATAAAATTTCTTAAAAACATTTTTTTATTGATTTTTAGAGAGAAAGGAAGGGAGAGGGAGAGAGAGATAGAAACATCGATGAGAGAGAACATCGATTGGCTGCCTCCTGCATGCCCCCCACTTGGGATTGGGTCCACAAACTGGACATGTGCCCTGACTGGGGATTGAACCAGTGACCTCTTGGTGCATGGGTCAATGCTCAACCAGTGAGCCACACTGGCCAGGACATAAAATTTCTTAAGTTCTGTGTGCAACCATCTTACTTTGGGATATGAGAAAAGAAAAGGAGGGGGAAAACATCAGCTTCCTCTAGGTCCTAGAGTCTAGGAAACTGTTTACAAAATGTTATCATGCAATCTTTCTATTTGGGTTTTCTTCACTGCTGTGCATAGATTTTCTGCCTGAAGGATTTTCTTTAACATTTCTTGTGGTGCAGATCTGCTGGGAATGAGTCCATCCAGCTTTTATACTCCAAAAAGGTCTATTTTTGTTTTCATTTTTAAAAGTTTTTTTTTTTCTGGATATAGAATTCCAGCTTGATAGTTTTTTCTTTTAGTACTTTATAGACGTTGAATTCTGTATTCTGACTTGCCTTGTTTCTGAAGAGAAAATTGCTGTCATTTTAATCTTTCCT